ATTCTAAATTCTTTTTCAGGTAGATTCCCTATTTCCTCCTCTTTTGTTTGACTTGGTGGGCTTTTTTCATGTTCCTTTAGCTGTTGGGTATTTCTCTGCCTTTTCATCTTGTTTAGATTGCTGTGTCTGGAGTGGGCTTTCTGTATTCTTGTGGTCTGAGGTTCCTTTTTATTGTGGAGGTTTCACCCAGTGGGTGGGGTTGGACGATTGGTTTGTCAAGGTTTCCTGGTTAGGGAAGCTTGTGTCAGCGTTCTGGTGCATGGAATTGGATTTCTTCTCTCTGGAGTGCAATGGAGTGTCCAGTAATGAGTTTTGCGATGGATCTATGTGTTAGGTGTGACTTTGGAGAGCCTGTATGTTGACACTCAGGTCTATGTTTCTGCGTTGCTAAAGAATTTGCGTGGTATGTCTTGTACTGGAGCTTATTGGCTCTTGGGTGGTGGTTGGTTTTGGTGTAGGTATGGAAGCTTTTGGATGGTCTCTTATTCCTTAATGTTCCGTGTAGTCAGGAGTTTTCTGGTTTTCTCAAGATTTGGGCTTAAGTCTCCTGCCTCTGGATTTCAGTTTTGTTCTTCCAATAGTCTCAAGACTTCTCCAACTATACAGCACTGATAATAAAACTTCTAGGTTAATGGTGAAAAGATTCTCCACCGTGAGAGACAACCAGAGAGGTTCACAGAGTTACATGAAGAATAGGAGAGGGAGGAAGGAGATAGAGGTGATCAGGAGGAGAAAAAGGGGACTCAAATCTACGCAGTTATCTGTTCCCAAAGTGTTCTCTGTAGCCCAGACACCCACAAAGATTCACAGAGTTGGATTGGGAAGAGAAGGGAAAAGGAGGAAATAGAGGTGTTCCGAGGTAGAAAACAGAGAGTCAAAAGTGGGAGAGTAATCACCACACTCCTGAATAGAAATGGGAACTGAATATTGGATTCTTAAATGACCAAAATTTATATCACATACTACTGAAAAACAAAGATTAAAAATCTAGTGTAGAGGTTAGACTCTTTGAAATACAATATTTAAAAACAAAAACACACAAAAAAATTTAGAAATGTATATGAAGTTTGATTTAAAAATAGGGTTTTTCTCTCTCTCTTTTTTTTTTTTGGCAAGGTTATAGTGAAATGAAAATGAAAATTAAGGAATAATAGAGGAGTATTAGAGGACTTTAAAAGGAAATAGGAGAGAAAAACAAGAAAAAGAAAAAAAAAGAAAAAAAAATTTTTTTTTCCCTAATTAAAAAAATCGTAAAAATATATGAAAATGAAAGTTGAGGAGTAATGGGGGAGTAATAGGGAATTTTAAAAGAAAATAAAAGAGAAAAAATAAAAAAAAATTAAAAAAAGGATAGAAAAAAAAATTTTTTTTAATTAAAAAAAAATATATATATATATATATCTAGGAATTTCTCTGGAGTTGTTGCAGTCAGCGTAGGTTCAGTTCAATTTCAGATAGCTCCTCTTTCCAGCTTACACTTCTCGATATCTGTAGGCCCCTTCTGGTGTAGTCGGTGTTACCTTCAGGGATTTTAATCTGTTGCACCAGTCCTTTCTGAAGCGGTTCCCTTTGTTTATTTGGCTTCTGTTTGCCGTCTCTTCGGTGTCTAAATTTCCGCCCTGACACAGGCGGGCGGAGGTGATCTCTTATTTAGGTTCTCTAGTTCAGTTCAGTCCTGCTACGGGGAGGGCGGGGCGCTGCAGACAGATGCCGCTCTGTGTGGATAGCACTCACCGTGTTCCGGCCACACTGGGTTTGCCCCGCTCACGGGTGTCAGTGCTTTCGCCGTCTACACTGCTCAGGCTTCCGGCTGCTCTATATGGAGCGGGCCCTGCGTTGAGTGCGGTTCCAGTTTTCGGGTACTCCACAAAAGCGCGGATTCGGTTGCGCCTACGTTTTGTGCCTTTCCCGGCCTGAGCGGTTCAGGCAGCCAGAGGCTTGGGCGCACTCTCCCTGGATGTGGCGCGCCTTTTCCCTCCGCAGCAAGCGGCCCAGGCAGCCAGAAGCTTGGGCGTACTCTCCCTGGGTGCAGCGTACCTTTTCCCTCCGCGTCGAGCGGCCCAGGCAGCCAGAGGCTTGGGCGCACTCTCCCCGGGTGTGGCGCGCCTTTTCCCTCCGCGGCGGGCAGCTCAGGCAGCCAGAGGCTTGGGCGCACTCTCCCCAGATGCGGCGTGCTTTTTCCCTCCGCGGCCCCAGCGCGCGCCGCCAGTCGGGTCTCAGGAAGTCTTTAGATAGGAACCGGGGGCCTGTTTGCAGTGTGGGAGGGGGTGGCTTCTCAGGGGCTGAGTTTGCCCCTTTCCCCTACCCCCTGCCTCCAACCTCCAGCGGGGATGGGCCGGCTCTTCTCTGGACTTTCTCAGTCCCTTTGTTTTGCGAACCGCCGGCAGTGTGTTCGGGCCTGTTAATTTTGACCCTTGCTATCCCACAGTTTAAAAAAGCTCCCTCCGATTGCTCTCAGTGTCTTCGGGCCGGTCCTTACCCTAAGCAATGCCGCCCGCTCCTCTCCGTCCCGCCCCCGCTTGTTGCTGGCGGGTACGGGCGTCTGGGGTACTTTTCTGCTGGGAGTTGCTTTTAGGCACGTAATCTGTGGGCCTTGTTTAATTTTTCCTCCCAGTTAGATTGCTGAAAACTTCCCCCAGTCCCGCCAGTGCGAGGGTTTCCTGGTGATTGGAAACTTCCTCTATTAAGACTCCCTTCCCGGGACGGGTCTCCGTCCGTAGCTCTTTTGACTCCCTTTTTATCTTTTATATTTTGTCCTACCTCCCTTCGAAGACAATGGGCTGCTTTTCTGGGCGCCTGATGTCCTCTGCTAGCGATCAGAAGTTGTTTTGTGCAATTTGCTCAGCATTCAAATGTTCTTTCGATGAATTTGTAGGAGAGAAAGTGGTCTCCCCGTCCTATTCCTCCGCCATCTTGGCTCCTTCAATTAGGACTTTTCAAAACAGAGTAGGTACAAAAAAACTCAGAACTACCAAAGAATTTCCCACAGAGGGGCTCAGAGAACAGATCTGTGACCATGGTAGTTAAGCAGAATAATGACTGAAGAGGACCAACAAAGGTTAAAAACTTCTGCCAAAATTATGTTATTCAATATCCCATGAGAGGATTTAGAACAGTTTTTTCCAACCAAAACCAACTAGAACAAAGTCCTGTTTTTGTTTTTAATAAAATGTCCCTATTCTAACTCATCTGCACTTTCAGTATCCAGTGCAGTTCCCTTCTGGTTACAGAAAGTGAAGGGTAATTGAAGTATAGAAGTGCTGGTTGCTAATGTCTGTGGCAGAATTCAGATCCCATCCTCTGCATTTCAATGACCCCCCCTGCTCAGGGCTATGCCAACTGGAAGAAACGGATCTCAGTGTAGATAAAACTCTAGAAGACTTCTGGGAGCGGAGATTATATCAGTGGGGGCCAAGACTGGATTCTCCAGTTCTTTGCAATGCAAAAAATCCTTAGTTTCGGCCTTGTGGTTGATTACTACGTGAATTTTGGTAAACTTGTCTCCACAGACTTCCGCTTCTTTCACTCTAGAATGAAGTAGCTAAAAGAAATTCTTTTACAGTCCTAATGTTTTATGAGAAGTGTCTGAGAAGACAACTTCCCAGAAGAATAGGAAGAGGGAGTCATCATGTTTTTAAGAGGTTGGAAGCTCAAGGATAACAAGGCTATAGAAATGGAAAGAGTGGACTTATGTAAGAATAAGTAACATTCAGAAAAATAAATGATCAGGAAAAACTGAGGCAGAGACAAACTGGAAGTAACTGAACAGCTGAACAACCAGAGAAAACTTGACAGGTTGGTACATAGACGTGGGTGGCTAGTGGGACCATGAAAGGCCAGTAGGCTGTGTAGGGTAGTAATGTTAAGTCATTTTTGTCAGCAGAGTCTAGAATATTAGCAAGTTGGGGATCCAGTGCCTGTAGATTTATTCTGGAATCAAGGAGTAAACCTAAAGCTTCATCAGAAAAATAGATCAATAAGACATATAAGTAGATCAGTCACGGACTAGGGCAACAAAGGATGTCACTAAAGAAGGATACTGATCAAAAAGATTCCTTGACCCAAAACTGCCTTGTAATCAGCTCTTTGGACAAGAGTTTAAACACAGCCACTTATACAACAGAAAGCCATTGTAGATATCACTTAGATGTAGATATCAGCATGAAAAAGATGAGGCAATGTAGGAAGTGACTGGTTAAACAATGCAAAATCATTTATCAACTAAATAGCAGAGGCCAGAGCTCCTACTCTTTCATCACCATTCAAAAGATACACAACTACACAGCTTCCACAGTCTCTTAACCAGAATAACTTTGTTATACGATTAATACTTTGTTGCTCATAGGAATTAAAGTGTACTGGTATAGCTGCAAAATGGTTTTTAAAGTTTGGAAAGACTTTATTCTCTCTTTAGCAATGAATGAGAATGGAGGTTTCTCCTCATCCTTGCCAACATTGACTGTTATTATTATTTTTTTAATGTTTGAGTTTTAAAATTTTTTTTGAATTTATTTTTATTTGGAGGACAATTGCTTTACAAGTGTTGGTTTCTTCCATACAACAACATGGATCAGTCGTAAGTATACATATATTCTCTCCCTCTTGAACCTCCCTCCCACCCCCACCTCTATCCCACCCCTCTAGGTTGTCACAGAGCATTTCTGTAAGTATTCTAACTGACTCTGAATTTCAGTCACTCTTACCCATCAACAAGGATAGGATGAGGATATAAAAGGTAGGATGAAGGCAAAAAGTAAAGATGTGCCATTTCTTTGTTTCCCATTCTTAGAAAGTTTATCATATAACAGAGATGACAAAAATTGATGGCTCCAAAAGCAGCATAAATATTTAACAGAAAATTAATCACTATAGGATATATGAAAAAATTTCATCATCTGATGGCTTCTAAAGATATATCTACAAATTATTTTAGTTTTTCTGCAAAGAAGGCAAATTTGCAATATCTCTATATACTCACCTTTAAATGTTGAATTGACTGCCTATTGCTTTTGTAACTCAGACATCCTGTTTTTTCTTGATCGCTGCAAACCCAAAAAAGGGGTGAAGGTTAGGCAGATGGGCAAGATCCTATATGTCGAGCATTATTTTTTCCACACTAAAATAAACCCTGGAATAAACTAACAACCAAAGGATTATCTTTCATTTGAAGAAAAAAATCTAAGGTATAAGGACAATATTTAATAGTAACTTGAATCAAAGGGTTTAAATACCACTGGAAAAGTATTATTTGATCGGTAAGTCCAAACTTTCAGTCATTTTAAAAGGGAACATAAATTTCAAGATATAATTAAAATTTTGAGAGAAGAAATATCTGGAAGATGTATTTTTAAAAACTGAGGTTGCAGAATAATTTTACCAGCCTGTAAAATTCCTCAAATGCTTTCTACAATTCCAGCAGCCACAATGATGCAGTAGCCAGTGAAGGGAGGTTCAGGAATAAGGTTGCTTCAGGAGAGAGTTATTAATACAAGGAGATGTGTGGACAGAAGCAGATACCACCTAGCCTGCCAATTTAGGTGGCTCTACGCTGGTAATGAATGAGTTGACTATTCATCACCAGGGTAGAGTGGTGGTCTCCCTCACTTCCATCTATTTGGGCAGGGACTGAAAGTCACTTTGTTGAAATATAATTCCTACATAGAAAAAACCAGGTGTATCAAATTGAAATAGTGCTGGATGGATGATCCCACGTACAGATTACTTCTAGCCCAGAGATGAAATGTTGTTTTATTCTTGTAAAACAAGAGAGGAAAGAAAAATAATATTTTAGGTGCAGATAACAATGCACTCCTCCGGAAAAGAACACTCTAGGGAAGCTCCTCAGTCATGCCTATCTCTTTTCTATCTCTGTGAGTTCAGAAGAACTGTTAAGTGAATTGCTAGTATTTGATAGCGCACGAGCGCGGCCAAGAGGAGCTATCCCACGTCCAAGGTAAGGAGCAGGGGCTGAGCTTTGCTGGAGCAGCCGTGAAGAGCTACCCCAAGTCCAAGGTAAGAGAAACCCAAGTAAGATGGCAGGCGCTGAGAGAGGGCATTAGGGGGCAGACAGACTGAAACCACAATCACAGACAACTAGCCAATCTGATCACATGGACCACAGCCTTGTCTAACTCAATGAAACTAAGCCGTGCCATATGGGGCCACCCAAGATGGACGGGTCATGGTGGAGAGGTCTGACAGAATGTGGTCCACTGGAGAAGGGAATGGCAAACCACTTCAGTATTCTTGCCTTTAGAACCCCATGAACAGTATGAAAAGGCAAAAAGGTAGGACACTGAAAGATGAACTCCCCAGGTCAGTAGGTGCCCAATATGCTACTGGAGATCAGTGGAGAAATAACTATGGAGCCAAAGCAAAAACAACACCCAGTTGTGGATGCAACTGGTGATAGAAGCAAGGTTTGATGCTGTAAAGAGCAATATTGCATAGGAACCTGGAATGTTAGGTCCGTGAATCAAGGCAAATTGGAAGTGGTCAAACAGGAGATAGCAAGAGTGAACATCGACATTCTAGGCCAATACTTTGGCCACCTGATGCAGAGAGCTGACTCATTTGAAAAGACCCTGATGCTGGGAAAGATTGAGGGCAGGAGGAGAAGGGGATGACAGAGGATGAGATGGTTGGATGGCATCACTAACACAATGGACATGGGTTTAGGTGGACTCCAGGAGTTGGTGATGGACAGGGAGGCCTCGCGTGCTGCCGTTCATGGGGTTGCAAAGAGTCGGACACGACTGAGTGACTGAACTGAACTAAACTGATTACAAAGTGTGAAAAGGTGATGTGCAAGAAAGAATAACAAAAACACAGGGTGTTGCTGGTTAACACAGTGATTCTCTTAGCCACTAATGGGTTTCTAAATCTAATGAATCAGGATGCTGTTTGGCACATCACAGTGTTAACTTTCTGAACAGTGAGTTATGGACCTGGAATATAAACAGGCTTCTAAGATATTTTCCTTACACAGGCAATGGTTTAGACAGAACAATCTAGCCATCACTTTCATCTTCTGGAGCAATTTGTTGGCATGAAACACTCTTGTATATATTTTATGTGTGTCCTTCAAGAATAAGGAGCCTGAAGATGAAGGTTTTGAACTGCACCCCAAAAACTTGTTCTTCAGCAGAGTATTGTATTTTAGAGCTTCAAACACTTACAGAAAATTCCTATCTATAATTTCTTGAATTTTAATGATAGTATTATCACTGGGAGTGCTTCCATTTCAGAGTGTGATGGTGGTAATTTCTTGGGTTATTTGAGCCTGAAATATTTAGCATCTAGTAACTTTAATCTGAATATTTTGACTTCCAAAAATAGTATTTTTACATTTGTGAAGCAAGTGATCATTAATGATGTATTTTCATAAATTAGATTATAATCTTTCATAAGTTTAAAATGCTTCTGTTTTATAATGTTGAAATGTTTTGAAATAAAAGATCTAGTCATGAAGTTACCCAATCATTCTATCATTAGGGCTAATATCTTGGAATTCTTTATAAGGTCATTAAAGAAACCTTTATTTCAGCTGTAAGAAGAGATGCATAAATGGTTCTCTCCTTTCTATTTTTTAAAAGAAACTCCTACAGAAGATATAGTGATATTACAATCTGAATTTTCTGAAATCAAGCAGCAGAAGAGAATTCATTACTTTGAAATATATGATTTAATATAATTTTCCTTATAAGAGTTCCTCCTTTTCTTGATGCTATTATTCAATAATAAAAAATGAACAGAAACCTTTGGCATTTTGTAATGTTCTTACAAACAATTATTTTCTACTCAGTCTGATTGTAAAAGGTCCAACTAATTGGCCTTCTATATTCCACATGGCAGTCAAATTTTGTTTTAAAATTTCTGTGTATCAATTATAGTAATACTGTTGGCTAATACTGCCATCTGTCAACATGTATATACACACACATATATGTGTATATATTAAAATATATAAATACTTAATATAATATATAATATATAACAATATAATGTTTATTTAATATTTGATGTTTATATATCATATATATATATAAATATATTATCATATATATATGATATTAACTGAAAATATGGCCATTCATAGAAAAGTGACATTTGACATTCTAAATTCTTAATCTGATCAATGTAAATAATGCAATAGAGGTCTAAACAGGAGTAAACAGAACAGACACTAATATGAAGGATGCATTTTTTTCCCTTTGTTACCATTATGGATTGGAAGTATATTTTTATGGGAGAAAAACACTTTGATCTCAGGACAGATAAAGCTGAATTATTGAACTGTAATGAGTCAGAAATGGCCCACAGTTGAAACTAAAGTATAGAGCTTACACTGATGAAAATTTAACTGTTTCATTCCTGCATAATCTATGTTCTGGTTTCATCTGTTTTTTAATAGATTGATTTTTAAAGTGTGGCTTTGCAAGCCTCAGAAATCAAGGAACACTATTGTCATTCTTACTATAATAATGGGCTTCCTTGGTGGCTCAGTGGCAAAGAATCCACCTGCAATGCAATTTCAATGAAATTTCAATCCCTGGGTTGGGAAGATCACCTGAGAAGGAAATAGCAACCCTCCCCAGTATTCTCAGCTGGGAAACCCCATGGACAGAGGAGCCTGCTGGGCTACAGTCCGTGGGGTTGCCGAAGAGTAGGGCATGACTTAGCAACAAAACAACACTATAACAACACTGGCATGGAAGATGGTAGCAGCCGTCGAGTCGCCAATTAAAATGAATGCACTGCCGTGTGCAATATGGATCACAGACGGTAGGTAAATGTATTAGGGTGTAAATAAAGTGCCTCAGACAGTGCCCACACCCACACTGTTAGCTTGTAGCAGTGTCTGTAGGATATTCTCTTCCAACTAGTTTCTGCCCTTTGAGTTAACAGAAGAAAGTTGATAAAGCTGTCCATAGTGTGTTGGCTCTTCTCAGCAAGATGAAAGCACACACTTGGTCTGGGAACAAGGGCAGCAGCACAGTGCAAACACATGTGCTTTGTTGAAGGGCCTTTAATCTTTCCAAGAGTGACTCTTTTATGCCGTAGTCAGTGCTCCAGTAGCTCCAAGTGCATACTACATGCTATCAAAAATGTTTTTCTTGTTTTACTTTTTCAAATTCTTATTGTGGATGATTCCACACATGCAGGGAATATGAAGGAATAACACAAGCACATCTGTATACCTGTCACCCAGATTCAGTAATTAATAGTTTGGCACATTTGCATTATCTATCCATGCTTATGTCACACCAAGCCATTAGGAATCCAGCAAAAATTCAGTATTTGATCTAAGAACAATCAATATGACTGCAACACAATAAACACACCTAAGGAAAGAACAAAGATTTGTCAAATCTAATATTCATTCTATATTCAAATTTACCTAATTGTCTTAAAATGTGTTGTCTAGCTGAGAATTTTGCTTTGTTTTCTTTCTGGCCAATAGTCTATTAAGTAAAACTAAATGGTAGTGACCCCATGTGGGCATCAGATTCAGACATAATAATGGCCTACGCAAGATGGTTTCTCTCTCACTTAGTCTGGAGATGTGCCAACAGGGGTTTAGGATGGCGCTTCCATCCTCAACACATGGCTTCATCCTTAGGCTGAAATAAGGCAGCTCCAGTCTGTAATCATGGTACAGAGGTGACACAGAGGAGGGCACAGTCCAAGGCCGTGATCCAGAGGCTCTGTACACAACTTCTGCTCATGTTCTATCACACAGAATGTAGACACATTGTCCTGCCTAGAAGCAGAGACTGAGAAAAACAGGCTTTATTCTTGGTGACCATGAGTTTAGGTTTCCCTGGACCTATGGGTCTCATGTCTAAAGGAAAAATGGCTTAGGGGCAGTAATTAGCCATCTTTGCCATAAGTGTTTCTGGAAATAACTGAGCTCTGATGAACTATCATAAGACTACTACATTGCAATATATTGATATGCTTAGATATGTTTCAGGTAAGACTATTTTTCTCTTATATTAAATATGCCTCATATTATTATTCAAAGTGAATATTGCTTTGA